GGGGTCAGGGGGCGGCACTGGGGTCAGGGGGCGGCACTGGGGTCAGAGGGAGGGGCCACAGGGGGGTCAGAGGGCAGCACCGGACCCGCTCTCCCCCCGCAGGGCTACCCCGGCGGGGCCGGACCAGCCCCGGGCGCCCCCCCGGGCGGCTGCTACCCCGGGGGTCCCTACGGAGCGGGGGCCCCCCCAGCCCCGGGGGGACCCTACGGGCCCCCACCCCCCCACGGGGGGCCCTACGGACACCCCGGCGCCAGCCCCTACGGAGCCCCCCCGGCCGGGCCCTACGGAGGAGCCGCCCCCGGAGGTGAGCGGGGGGGGGGGCTGGGGCCGATCCCGACATTCCGACATTCCCATTCCGCACGGCCCTTCAGCAGGGAGGCCCCAGCAGCCGGATCCCGGCGTGGCTCCAGCGCGTCCCCTCCGCCTCCCTGCCCGGGAATGGGCAGGTTGCCCTTGGATGGGGCTGTGGATGGGGCTCGAGCCCCGCCGGGTCAGAACTCTGGCGCAGTGGAACTGAAATAATTCAGTGAAACGGGAAAATCCCGGCTTGGAATTTTAAAGGAGTCCTGATGAGGAGGGAGGCGCCCAAGAGGCCACAACCCTGTGCTCCAGCCACGCATCCCTCTGCCCACACTGCCCCTGTCGTACCGGGATCGCCCCGAGCTCCGCAGGATGCCCGAGCTTGTCCCTTTCCCTGTCACGCCGCCTCCCGTACCATGTCCCTGCTGCTGCCAGTGGCTTTTCCAGGCCGTTTTCCCGGGCGCCGGCTGCGTCCTCACAAGCTCCCACTCTTTCCGCGCAGGGGGAGCCCCTCCGGGCGTGGATCCGGAGGCGTTTTCCTGGTTCCAGGCCGTGGACACGGACGGCAGCGGCTACATCTCCGTGAAGGAGCTGAGGGCGGCGCTGGTCAACAACAACTGGTCGGCGTTCGACACGGACACCTGCGTGCTCATGCTGAGTGAGCGGGGGCCGCCCGGCGCCTTGGGGAAGGGGCTGGAGCACAGAGCCCACAACGGGGGGCCTGGGGGGGCTGTTGGGCTGCAAAGAGGGGGCCCCGGGGACCCCTCATCGCTCTGTGCAGCTGCCCGGGGGGAGGTCGTGGTGAGACAGGGTTGGTCTCTCCTCCAGAGGAGCTGCAGGGGGGGCAGGAGGAAATAGCCTCAGGTTGCACCAGGGGAGGTTCGGGTTGGATATGAGGAAGAATTCCTACATGGAAAGAGTGGGGAAGCATCAGGACACGCTGCCCAGGGTGGTGGAGTCACCTGAGGGACGCAGGGACGCGGTTCAGCAGGGTAGGGCTCAGGGGCTCACGGTTGGACTCGATGCTCTCCGGGGTCTTCTCCAACCCTACCCGTTCTGCCATTTCCCTGCCTGCCGCAGCGCTGCCAACCCGAGGTTCTGCTGCTGCTCCCTGCCGCCCTTGCCGGGCCCGAGAGCTCTTGTGCTGCGAGAGGGGCGCTCGGGGCTGGAGTCTCCCTCCCGCCGGCATCCGGAGCGCCCTGCAGCGCGGCCCTGCCCTGCTCCTCACTCGCTTGTGTCTCCGCAGATCTGTTCGACAGGAGCGGCTCGGGCCGCATGGACGTGTGCGGCTTCTCGGCCCTGCTGCGCTTCATCCAGCAGTGGAGGAGCCTTTTCCAGCAGTACGACAGGGACCAGTCGGGCTCCATCAGCTTCGAGGAGCTTCAGCAAGGTGGGCAAAGGGGCAGAGCCGCCGCTCTTGCGCTCCTTGTGCTTCGTTCTCTGCCTCCACCTGCACTTAGGGCTGTCCCAGCCCGGGGAGCGTTTATGGCATCGTCTCGCACAGGGCTGGGCACCTCGGAGCCCACGGGGCGTCTCCTGCGCAGGCGGAGCGAAGCTGGCAGCGCTGGGCTGCTTAAACCTGCACATAGAGTGTGCCAGGCTGGATAAACCTGCACTAGGAGTGTGCCAGGCTGGTTCGACCTGCACTGGGAACTATGGGCAGGTTCACCCTGCACGTGGAGGGTGCCAGGCTGGTTCAACCTGCACATGGAATGTGCCAGGCTGGATAAACTGGCACGTGGAGCGTGCCAGGCTGGTTCAACCTGCACATGGAACGTGCCAACCTGGTTCAACCTGCACTAGGAGTGTGCCAGGCTGGTTACACCAGTGCTGGGAGTGCTGGGCTAGTTATAGCAGCACTGGAAGCACCAGTTTCAGCAGCGCTGGCAGTGCCGGGCTGGCCACAGCAGCCTGGCACGGCTGGCGCTGAGCCCTCCCCTGGGCACAGGGACGGGGCACTGCAGCTGGAGCAGACTATGAACTTCCTTCCTTAAGGAACCCCTTTCTCCCTCTTCCCCTGTGACAATGGCATGTGGTTAAGCCCAGTTTTCTGGGAGGAGATGCTGGGCGTGTGTCTAATGGGAAGGAAGAATGTGTGGAATTCCTGCCCGGACGCACTTGCTCCGTCCCTAGAGTGCTGCCCGTGCACACCCGACTCCTCCGCACCGCGGCAGGCGGGTGGTCGCTGTCCTTGGGAGAGGCTTCTTGCAGAGCTTTCATCCTTGTATTCCCCATTCCCAGCTCTCTCCCAGATGGGCTACAGACTGAGTCCCCAGTTTAGCCAGCTGCTGCTGTCCCGCTACGCGCCAAGATCCTCCAGCCCCAGCATCCAGCTCGGCCGCTTCATCCACATCTGCCTCCAGCTGCAGAGCCTCACGGATGCCTTCCGGGAGAAGGACACGGCGCTGGCGGGCACCGTGCGCCTCGGCTACGAGGACTTCCTCACCATGGTGGTGACACGGATGCTGTGAGGCCCTGGGCCTCTGCTCCCTCCATCTCCTGGTTTTCCTCCACCTGGAAAAACGAATGTCCCCCCTGCCTGGACTGCTGGGGCAGCAGGGAGGCCGTGAGCTCCTGTTTGCAATCCCAGCCATCCAAAGCTCTGATTATTTTTTGTCCCCGCTCCAAGGCGGTGGGCGCGATGGCCAAACCAGCAGCGAGCCCATGCCATGACCCCCGGGAAGCGCTTAGATCTTCCTTTGGTGGCCACCAAGCTGTCCCGCAGCCTGGCGGGGTGTCCTTAGGGAAACATCTCATTCCTAGCCTGCTTTTGGGGACCCTTTCCCTGGAATCCAGTGGCATTTGCCTTGGATGAGGCTTCGTCTGCAGAGCGCAGGTGGCACAGGGGGTTGTTGGGTCCTGGTGATGTCCCCCGCTCACCCAAAGGTCCTCGCAGCAGCTCGGAGCTTCCCGCTCGCCTGAAACACCCTCATGTTGCCAAAGATCTGAGCGCTCTTTTCCCACTGCTGCTAAACTGGGCTCCAGTCACAGCCAGGATAATTCCACCCCTCTTTCCTGCCAAAGGCGGTCCTGGATGTTCCTGACCGCAGAGGCCAAACTCAAGGGACTTTGAGCTAATATTTGCCATTCCTTAATAAAGTACCGTGCGCACTTGGGTGGTTGCTGCCTGTGCCGCTTCCCTGGGGTGCAGGTGCTGCCCTCGGGCTCTCCGAGGCCGGAATGCTCCCAAGGTGGGGATCTCCCAATGTGGGATTGGCATTCCCCTCGGGGCAGGAGCCGCCCTCCCAGGGCAGGATCGACGTTCTCTATGTGGGATCCATGCTCCCACTGCAGGATCTGCATTCCTGGTGCAGGATCTGTGCTCCTGCTGCAGGATCCGCATTGCCGGTAAAGGATCCGCATTCCCACTGCAGGATCCCCATTCCCACTGCAGGATCCCCATTCCCGGTGCAGGATCCCCATTCCCGGTGCAGGATCCTCATTTCCAGTGCAGGATCCCCATTCCTGCTGCAGGATCTGCATTCCTGCTGTAGGATCCCCATTCCCGCTGCAGGATCCCCATTCCCAGTGCAGGATCCCCGTTCCCGGTGCAGGATCCCCATTCCCGCTGCGGGATCCCCATTCCTGCTGTGGGATCCCCATTCCCAGTGCAGGATCCCCATTCCCGCTGCAGGTTCCCCACTCCCGCTGCAGGATCCCCATTCCTGCTGTGGGATCCCCATTCCCGGTACAGGATCCCAATTCCCGGTACAGGATCCCCATTCCCGGTGCAGGATCCCCATTCCCACTGCGGGATCCCCGTTCCCGGTGCGAGCTCCGCAGCGCTCCGCGCGGCCGCCAGGTGGCGCCGCCGCCCGGGCAGAGGCTGCGGGCCCCGCCCCGCGCCGCGCTCGTTCCTATAGAGCGCGCACCTATAGCTGGGACACACCCCTGTGTGTGCATAGATACGTGGGGGTGTGTGTGTATATTTAATATACACACACGTGTATATATATGTACACATGCATATATATATATATTTGTGTGTGCATATATATAAAAAATGTGCACACACAAGTATGTACATATATATGTATGCATACATGCACACACACATAGGCATTGCTCTATATACACATACATATACCCCCCCCACACAGACACACACGTTCCAATAGCTATATATACATACACATAACACAATTGTACCTGTGTGTCTATATACACATATGCATATACCCCATATATATATATATGTACATACACTCGTACATAATATAAACACATTTTTATATATATGTGTGTATATAGTTAATATATATAGTTAATATATATAAAATATGCATATATATATTATATATCATGCATTATGCATTATGCATTATATATTATATATTATATATTATGCATTATGCATTATATATTATATATTATATATTATATATTATATATTATATATTATATATTATATATTATATATTATATATTATATATTATATATTATATATTA